TAGCTTTATTTTACTAGTCAGCTAGAAATTTAAAGGAGAATGGGAAAACATACAGTTTGATCTTTTAACTTGTGTATCTCTGGAAATGTGATCTCCATGGATATTTGGTTTTGTATGATTACTAACCTTATTTTATCTGACTGCCAGCTGTATGAGATATGTTGTTACCTACAAAAGAAATGTGAAATTCTTTGATAATAGTCAGTAAACATAAACGATAAATAAGGCAGATTGATTTCCTCTAAATTTTTCCTTCAAGGTTACATTGCACCATGGAGTGGCAGGTTTTACTCATTATGGGACACTGGGTAAGTGCAAATCAGCTTTTTGCCTTCATTATTTTAAAATACCTTTTTTCCTCTGTTATATTTCTGTATTTCTGTCAGTACTTGGCGTTTCTGAAGCGTACCTAGCATGCACTATTAGTATGTGTTGACTCCCTCATAATTTATCTTTGTTTAAATTCCTGTTTAGAATACACCTTTAGTATGATACATGTAAGTCATACATTTCTTTTCTATATGGTCAACTCCTTATTTTGGTTTTGTTTGTCAGAATATTTAGAGTAACATTTGTGCCTTTTAGTGATTGATTTTTGTTTTTAACCATTATATTCAGGTTCCATCTTTTAGTAATATTTAATTTTTAACTCTTAGAGAGCCATATGCCATAGATAAGAAGAAAAATTTTAACTTTTTTCCTAATAATGTGTTATCCTTATTAGTTCCTTGATATTTTTAATCTATCAAGTATAATTGAGAATACTTTACACTTTTTTTTAAAGAGTGCTATTATAAAATGAATTAATAAAAATTTTGGTTTTAAGTTAGACAACTAGTTCAATAAAACCAGTCTCTAAAATGTTTTCCTAAGGATAAGAGTACAACCTGTTGATAATTTATCTGTTTTCTCTTTCCACTTTTCTGTCTTCTTCTTACTCCCTGTGTGGCCCAATAAATCTATTAATAAACAATTTATTGCCTAGACCTGCCCTTTGATGTGATACCAAAAGGGCTCATGCCTGGGTCTAATTAAAGGTGTAAGCATATTATTTATAAATGACTAAAGCTGACATTTAGACACATATTTCAAGAGATTGTGGATCACCCAAAAGTTTGAGGGAAAACCCTGGTTGTAGACAGTTAGTCTTATTAGGTCAAATTATAAGGTCAGATTTTTGTAAGTTATACTTATTTGACTATTTTGGGATCTCAGGGTATTTCAGGGGTAATTTGTTCTCTCCATTTCCCTCACCTACCTTTGCATCATTTTGTTAAGAAAGATATCGTGGCAATATGGTATCTTAATTTGGATAAGAGATTTCTGCTAGTACTAAGTCCAAAAGAGTGAAACTTGTTGATTCAAACGTAGGAAATGGTAAGCAAAACTGCAGGTACTTCTATTTGAGCAAAGATTTTTGTATTAAAAGTCAGAACCAACACTTTTATAACTGGTTTTAGATAAGTCTTATAATTTTAGGGGTGGCACATTGGTTTTTAGTTTTACCAATGCAGACTAGATTTATTTCCAGTTAGCAGGTTCCATTGGAACATACTTTCAAGCAAGAAGGGGTGAGGTATAGGAACGATGTTTACAGTCAAAGGAAATTTCTTCATCCAAAAGGAACTCCTTCCTATTTTAATTTTAAACAATATTAACTTTTTAAATACCAGGTATGCAAAAATACACATTCCAATTATTGCATCAGTGTCTGAACATCAACCTACGACTTGGGTGTCTTTCTTCTTTGATCTACATATTCTTGTGTGTACCTTCCCAGCAGGCCTATGGTTCTGCATTAAAAATATCAACGATGAAAGAGTATTTGGTAAGAGAGTTTTAATCACTACTTTGATTTGGAACAATTTGTTTATTTTCTTTATTGAGATTATCACTTTAAAGTTTTATTTCTCTTTGCTTGGGTCTATGCATATTCAAAATAAATTTCCTCTTATTTTGCATAAGTGTTTAGCCAAGAAAAATACAGTGAATTTGTGTTATATATGTATATGTATATATCTATATATATATAGATACACTCATTATATAGATATATATAGATATAGATACACTCATTAACTGTTTTAAATTAGAACTAGTATATAAATTTTTCATTCAATTGATGGCATTTTCTGAGAGATTAATATATAGACCATGGCTGAGGTTTGGAAATTATAACTTTGTTGACAGTATAGCCTTTATTTTCTGTATTAGACCTGATTACAGAGGAAGAAGTATGCAGGTGCATCCGTTGCCCAAATTTCAATGTAAAAAGAATCATCTTTAAGTAAACACCCTCTTCATTGATAGATTTGTGTATATTTCCAGCTAAAACGACAGTAATACAAATTATTTTAATGATATTCAAAATATAAGTAGGCAAAGTAAGCAGATACCAGAGACCTTTACAGGATTCAGTCATCACAAGAAGTGTATCTTGGCTGTTTTGCATGTGTTAAAATGTGAAACTAAAAAGGTTTTTAACATGCACAGGGTCACACAAGCAAACAACTTGTAGTACCAGGACTTGAACAAGTATGATGCATGAACCATGAGTGACACTCAAGTTACTATTCCAGAGTAAAGTCAGGAGAGAAAAATAGCACCTGTGTGAGTTATAACCAAGGATGGTATTCCTTCTTGCCCTGTTTATATAGATCAGTGGACTCTGGATAAGGCCATATTAATAACCTGTCATTAAGAAGGTTTTAGCTTAAACATTTTGCCCACCTCATTATGACTCAGAAATAAATCCCAGATATATACATACCCAAGAGAAGTGAGTGCATATGTCCAATAAAGAACATGCTTAAGAGTGTACATAGCAACTTTATCCATCATAATCCCTAATTGGAAACATTCCAAAGATTATCAGCATTAAGACAGATTAATAAATTTGGATGTATTTGTATAATGTAGTATAATCAAAGAATAGAATGAATAGAAGCATCTGATGGGTGGTTCAGTCAGTTGAGTGCCCAACTTGCTATAGGCTCAGGTCATGATCCCAAGGTCGTGGGATCCAGGCCACCATTGATTGGGCTTAGCGCTGGGTGTGGAGCCTGCTTAAGATTCTCCCTCCCTCCCTTCCTCCCCTCCCTCTCTCACCTTACACCTCCCCTCCTTTGCTCACACTCACTCTCAAAAACAAAAAAAAAAAAAGAATAGCATTGGTAAATTAAAAAAAAGAAAAAAAAGTACAGGAGAGAACATTTTTATATAATTTCTTTTTTAAGAAGTTCAAGACTAAAGAAAACTGAATTAATGTTTTGGAAGTCCAAATAGTAATTACTATATATACGTGTATACACACACACACACACACACACACACACACACACACGGAGTGGGGAGAGCATCTGTGAAGTGGGAAGAGGCACGAGGGTTCCTTCTGAAGGAGAGACACATTGTCCTTTAGTTTGGTATTGGCAATTACATAGATGTGTAAAAATTCATTGCGCTATATACACTTAATATTTTTTTAGTCAGAAAAAATTAGTTGCCAATGAGATAAGAATTCTTAGGTCTCTTTGGCAGTAACTTTACAAGTTCTTCCTTTGGCTAATAAATTGTATTCTTCTCATTTCATTCTTAACTCTTTTTTGAGAGGCCACAAATGAGAGGGGCAGAGAGAGAGAGAATCCCATGAAGGGCAGAGAGAGAGAGGGAGATGCAGGGAAGCAGGGCTCACCTGAAGCAGGGCTTGAGCTTATGAACTATGAGATCATGACAAGATCATGACCTGAGCCAAAGACAGATGCCTAACTGACTGAACCACCCAGGCTCCCCATCCCATTCCTACTTTACAGCAGGTTGTATACCAGATACTTGTATTGGCTTTTCACAGACTGTTTGCTTCTGTAAACTTACTGGGCCTAATAATATAATTAACCAAATATGTTTTCATCTGTCAGCAGTGGATTTCCTAATATGTGATACTATTGACAAATAATGAATTGTCATCTTTCCCATAATAATTAAATTTAAATCCTGATACATTTGCCTAAAACTGTTGATATGTAATGTTTAGTCAACTTGACTTACAATTTCTAAATATGACTATTAAAATGGTCAGTATGAATATGTGTAAAAACAATTAGCCTTTTGATGAGATGTTTGTCTCTTAACTTTGGTTTATTTTTAGCTTTGGTAGCATTAAATATTGAGTTGAGTTTCCTGGGAACATCTTCTGAAGTGTCATAAGAGAACTTGTCTTTGCAGTTGCTTTGTATGCAATCAGTGCTGTCTATTTTGCTGGAGTAATGGTGCGGCTGATGTTGACTTTGACTCCGGTCGTCTGTATGCTATCTGCAATCGCCTTCTCAAATGTTTTTGAGCACTATTTGGGGGATGACATGAAAAGGGAAAACCCACCTGTGGAAGACAGCAGTGATGAAGATGATAAAAGAAACCCAGGAAACTTGTATGATAAGGTAGGAATCTAAGTAAGGTCTTTAAACTTTTTATGTGTTTCATTTTTTTTCTACTGTGGTAAGAATTACACATATTAAAAACGATTTAGACAATCTCTGACATTTCTAGTGGGTCTCTACTGTTTGCCTCAAAATTTGGATCCTGTTTGGTCTTTTAGCTTAGAAGAAAATACAGTGCAGAGAAGAAATTCTCATTTCTTATTGTCAGGTTAAAACTCCTCCACTTTTGAGAGTAGAAACCTTGTGCTCTGCTTACATAAAATTTTGCATGAAACTTATGTGCACAAGTGCTTATCCTTTAAATCCATATTCAGTGTAAATTTTTAAAATATTTGATTGAATGAAAAGTAAAATGGAATAAAGCCTCTAGTTTGTTAGCAACAAGTGGCTGGCCAGTATGATGTAAGTCACTTTTAACCTGTCACATAACACGGCAGGAGAATATTTGATTCAGGAATAGTAAAGACTTGTAAAAATTAGAGCACTTGTTTTGGATGACTTTTTTTTTTTTTTCCCCCCAATCCCAAGTTACTTATTTTCACAAGAGGCGGGGAGAACCTTTCATGGAAAACTAAGCAACGCTTCCAGAGCATGCATGTCGTCCTGGCACAGGAGGCACGCTCATCGTCTCTGCATTGTTCCGGCTTTAGTATATGTGCTGCCGAAGCAAGCACTTGGATGACATATTAAGCCTTACTCTATGGATCTTAACTAGGTTTTTAAATACCAGTAATCAGTGAAACTTCATGGTATAAATATTAACTTTAAAATTCTTCTTTTCCTTATTATACGTCCAATATAATTCATACAGATTTGTGTTAATTCTTGCTTTTGTGGTGGTTGTTTTGCAGTTCAGTTGAGAACCTATGAGTCTGTTCTTTCGGTTTGGGGTAGGAGTTTTGGGTTGGTGTTTTCAAAAATGTAATCTTAACAAATCTGTTACTTTGGAGTTTTGGTAATTACAAGATTAATTCTGATAATGCCAATTTTTCCTTTACTAAAGTCCTATAGATCTGAATTATAGGCAACATTGTCATTTTCCGGATAAGAAATCCAGATTTTATAAGAACAGTTTGCCAGAATGAGGCCTTCTGGTTATCTCCTTTGTTTTTCTGTTTTGTTTTGTTTCATTTGTATGTAAGTAAAACATAAGGACACCTGGATTTGAAACCTTCTTCCTGGAGATACTGTACTCTGTAATCAGCTCCTGGAATGGGTAGCCTTCTCATTCACATTGAACTTTAGACTCTACCTTGATAATTTTTAGAAAACATTGTATCACCCACACAATAATACCTGATGGTTGTACATTTTCCTTGTGAAAGAATTAAATTGATTTAACATTTTCCCTGAGTGTTTTAGTGAAGCAAGACAAATGATGAACTCGTCTAACCAGTATTTCGTATCTTTTAGGCAGGTAAAGTAAGGAAACATGTAACTGAACAGGAAAAAACTGAAGAGGGATTAGGTCCTAATATAAAAAGCATTGTCACCATGTTGATGCTGATGCTGTTGATGATGTTTGCAGTCCACTGTACCTGGGTCACAAGCAATGCCTACTCCAGTCCAAGTGTGGTCCTTGCCTCTTACAATCATGATGGGTAAGAAAGTAACTTGGCTGCAAAAGGATTTTATACCTACCCTGTTTTTCTGTCTCAGAAGATAGAATAGTGTTTGTGAGGCTCTGCATTTGAATCTACCGTGTTTGTCTTTCATCCCCCACCCCGTACACACTCCCCCGCCAGCTTCTGCTTCACTTGGGTACTGGTTAGATGTACAGATATCAGGCCGCACCCAGAACCACTAAACCAGAATCTTCCCTTTTTTCAAGATAGCCAGGTGAGCTGTATGCATATTACAGTTTAAACAAGCACTATTGAGCTCTTCATGGATGTTTCCCCCTCCCTATCATGGAGGCTTTTAAAATATGAGATCATTTGATGATTTAGCACCTCAAGATTTTAAGTTACCCTCTTCACATTTAAGATCTTACTTGCAAGAATATTATGATTCTTTTCAGCACGAGGAACATCTTAGATGATTTTAGAGAAGCTTACTTTTGGCTAAGACAAAATACAGATGAACATGCCCGAGTGATGTCGTGGTGGGATTATGGCTATCAGATAGCTGGAATGGCCAATAGGACTACTTTGGTGGATAATAACACCTGGAATAACAGCCACATAGCACTGGTAAGAGTTTGATAAAAGATCAAAAATTACAAATCTTTATTACTTGGCAGTCAGCCTTTACTTGTGATTAAATAGAGAATGTGGGTAAAAGTATTCTTTCCTGATTTCTCAAAATATAGGAAACTCTTCATACATTTATTGAACAAAGTGAATTCGAGGTATTCCATCTATTTTGTTTTTAAGAATGATATTTATTTGGGGTGCCTGGCTGGCTCAGTCAGTAGAGCATGCCACTCTTGATCTCAGGGTCATGAGTTCAAGCCCCACATTGGGCATGGAGCCTACTTAATAATGAAAAAAAAAAAAGGTATTTACTTAAGCTTCATTCAGAATTGTAGGCTGATTTCTGGCATATTACATCATATATTTAGCTCACTGGAGAATTCGGCAAAATCTGAGACTTTAAAAGTACTGTTTAACTTGTATTTTCCATTTTTAAATTAAAATTATTTGCAAGGGTGTAAAGCCAAAGGTACTGCATTTATAGGCATGTAAATTATATCCCCTCAAATAAGTAATTTGCATAAATTAAGGTAATCCCCTCTCTGTTCTCTAAAGATTTTAAATAGATAACGGATGTTAACCAGATGAGTTCTATTTGTATTAGCATTGTAGCGAATCGTTGGACTAACAGTAGACTTAGAAGAATATATTTGTACCAGCTAGATTGCTGGTCATCCCTGGCCTTAAAGTTCTGAGAAATTGTATTTCTTTTAAGCTTGCCTGCTTTTATATTAAAATATTAATTTCATGAAATAATTATTAGAACATGTATTCAGATTTTGACATTTCTGCTATAATTGGTTCTATTAAGTGAGGTGCTTATAAATCTTGGTAAATTTGTTGAATTCATAGCAAATCATTTCTTTAAAAAAGAATTCCATGTAAATCAAACTCTTGAGGTACATTCCATTCAATGTACATTTTTATTTTTAGTGTATTGGTGGATCTAAGTATGTATATTCTCATTTTTTATTCTATAGGTAGGAAAAGCTATGTCTTCAAATGAAACAGCAGCCTACAAAATCATGAGGAGTCTGGATGTAGATTATGTTTTGGTTATTTTTGGAGGAGTTATTGGCTATTCGGGTGATGACATCAACAAGTTTCTCTGGATGGTTAGGATAGCTGAAGGGGAACATCCAAAAGACATCCGGGTAAGAAACTAGATCATTCCATATGTGTGAAAGACAGCTCCCAGTGTCCCGAGTAATTTCCTTATCATGTTAGTTGTATCATATTTGTTTATGTCATCTTCTGCCCCAAATTCGTCCCTCACTCTTACTTTACAATTTATTAAAGATACTATGAGCATTTTTCCAGGTTTAAAACTTTTGAAATTCACCCCTGGTACTACTTTTCTCCCCTACGAAACAGCCCTTTCTCAAGACTCTTGCTTTTTACTCCTTCCCAGCCTCCCACGTCTGCCCTATCTTTCCACTTTCATTGCTTCCATTCTGATACTAACCCTTATAATTGTAAACCTCAAATAGGACAGTGACCTTGAAATTGCTGTGCTTTACCTTAATCTTGTTTCCTCTTCCTATCTAACATGACATTGATCATGTCACTTTCCAACTTAAAAACCTTTGGTAGATTAAGGGCCTTGGAATCAGACATGAGTTGGAAGAAAACCCTGCACTGTCAGCTTGGTGCTATGGACAGCTTATTTTTGGCCAGTCAGCATTAGGTGCTTGAAGCACTACGTCTCATTCTTGGTTCTGGTGTTATGCTGATTAAGGTAGCCTGTGATTATCACTGGAGGGGAAGCCAGGAATAGTTAATTTGTGGTGCTCTTATGCAAATTTGTAGTAATGTGGATGAAGCTCAGCCTAGTGGCAGGTTTGAAATAATCTCTGGAATGAAGCAGTGGTATAAGATGCAAACTTCTTAGCTTGGAATGTAAACCCCTTACTGCTTCACTTTCCTTTGCTGGCCTCTTGTCCCTCTGCCAACTTTTTTCCATCTGTCAGTCTACTCTAGCCCATGAAATTTGCCTTGTGGTTTCTTTCTTTGACTTACAGTTGATATACTCTTCTCTTTCTTGGAATACTTTCCCTGCCACGTATGTGTCCACTTTCCAGAAATCCTTCTCTCGTGCATCTGTGTATTTATTTATCATCAGATCACATGCGGCTTGTTCTTTTAGTAGATTTTAAGATATATCTCCCTCTCAGTTGTGAGCTCATAGAAGATTGGCACCCAGCATTGTGGTTTACATGATAAAGGGACGAAAGATGAGAGTAAGGTTCACCAGTGACCCAGAATAAAAGAACCTTTTGGGAAAATGTATGTTATGTGTGTCATGTGATAGGGACAAAATAAAGCTCTCAACTTTCTGTTCAAATGTAAATGCTATGATGTTTTCCCTTAATTATCATTTTAAATCATTACTTCATTGTATTAATCTTAATTTTCCCAATACGTAATTGTCATCTGTGGATTTGTGTTTTAGCATTGTTAAAATTGTGACGTATGATAGATCTAGTTTCCATATTTCCATGCTTTTTAAATACAGTGGTTTTGAAATTTGAGAATACATTCACATCGTTCAAAAAATAAAATATAAAGAGATATACAATAAAAACTTAACCCTCCCCCAAGAAAAGCAAAAGTCCATGGTCCTCACTTAACTGTTTCCCTGTGATTCTTATTCAAGCAAGAAGTAGTAGTAGAGTACACACCTTGTTTTTGCTTTTTTCAGTTTGCAGTATATCTTGGAGACCTTACCTTATGAGGATACGGAGAGCCTTCTCCATTCTTTTATCGCAGATCTGCGGTGTGCTTTGTTGTGTGTGCACCATGGTTTATCTAACCTTTCCCTACTGAAGGACAGGTTATTTCCAGGTTTTTAGTCTTGCAAACAGTGGTATAATGACTTACACTTTCTGCATTCATTATTTTGCCTATATATCAGTATCTCTGTAGGATAAATTTCTAGACCAGGAATTTCTGTATCGCCAAATTGTGCTCTTAGAGGTTAATATATAAATTTGATGTAATCCCAATGTTCTAAACATTTATATAGTTCTAAACATTTCTCCTCCCCAACCAAAGAACTGATTTTAGAGTACTTATGGAAAAATAAAAAACATTTAGGAAAACTCTTGAAAAGCTATAATGAATGGGGTTAAAGATGGAGCAGTTGGAGATAGCTAGGCTACCTGGTATTAAACCATAGTGTTGGTACCATTCTTTTCAAATAATTGAGGTCTTATAACATGGTTTAAAATCTGTTCTCCCTCACTTGAACAAAGACTTGTTCTTTTCCTGTGTTTTCTTATGTACTCTTATTTTTTATAAATGATTTCTAGACTTGGTTAAAATAAAAAACACTATATCATGCTTTTGCAGCTTTCTTTTAGGGGTCATGTTAAATTTATAAATTAATCTTCTAATACCATATTTTTTGAGATGTAACTAACTATGGCTTTTTGAAGATATTTCAAAAGCTGCCTCTGTAAGGGGGAAAAGGAGAGAAACTGGTACCTTTGAATGTGTTGTATTGAACTGACAGAAATTTAATTTCTTTCCTATAGGAAAGTGACTATTTCACCCCACAAGGAGAATTCCGTGTAGACAAAGCAGGATCACCCACGTTGTTGAATTGTCTTATGTATAAAATGTCATACTACAGATTTGGAGAAATGCAGGTTGGTTATATCGATTCTTATATAATCTTATTAAAAGAAATAGTTTTAAGCAGTCTTGTTTGCCTCTAGGAAATAGGATAATGAATGTTGTGCTGTGAAGAAAAATATGCTTATCTAGAGATTCCATATCCCCACTCCTTAAATTTAGATTTCTGAACTATGAAAAGTTAGGGGGAGAATTTTTTAGAACAAAGATTTCTTCCCAAAATATTAACCCTAGGCTCAGATACCACATTTGCTTGCCATGTCCCCTTTTGACCTTATGCCTTTGGAAGACATTGTTCTGCAGAAGAGAGGTCTTCTAGGTAGGAAGCAGAGTGATCTTGAGTAGGATACTTTGCTGCTGGTGGGGAAAAGCCTGAAAGTAAAGAGTTTAGTTAACATAGTCACTTCAGATACTCCATCCCCGTTCTATTATCACAGCTAGTTAGGACTATCTGTGTGAGAGTTTCTTAGAATATTAGAATGATATGGGTCCAAAAGCTTAACAGTCCATAAAATGAGTGAAATGTGCAGAGATGTTGTGGCAAAAAGAAAACACTGGACCACCTGCCATAATGCCTGGGCTTTAGATCTGGCTCTGTTGGGTTGTATGACTCTTGGGCAAGCCACATTCCCTGGACTGATTTTCCTCCTTGTCTGTATATAATGGGGGTTAGGCCAGTGACTTGATTTCTGAGGTTCTACAATACCAAGTTATGTCTTCATATTAGGATTTCAGTGAATACTGCCTGATTTCATATTGCTTTCTGATTAAGTTGATACTAGAAGGCAGAGGGAAAATTGCTTGTTGAACTTTATGCAAATACCAGGAGTCAAGATAATGTTTCATCATTATTCATTTAGAATTACTCTATAGGTGGCTTTTTGTTTTTCCATTGTTGTGTTGTTTTGTTTCTTGGACTATAGTTGGCAACACACTGTTACATTAGTTTCAGGTGTACAATATAGTGATTCCATAGGTTTAGACCTCATATTTACAAGTGTAGCCACCATCTGCCACCATATGGCACCGTCACACAGCACCACTGCTGATACTCTCCGTGTTCTGTAGGTGGCTTTGAAAAAGTAGACAGCAATTTTACTACAGATTGAGGGGTTTGTTTGTGCTTTGATTTTTTTTTTTTTTTGAAGGCAACTGCTTAGTCTCTACACTCATACAAGAACGAACCACATAAATCCTAACTAGTTACTTCAGAAAATGGGTCAAAGATGAGTTTCTCTGGTCATTAATGATAGTATTAAAGGACTTTTTTTTTGGTCCTGTAAATTATTAACAATTTTAAGCCATGCTTCTAGCATGCATTCGTTTTGATGCCTTCCCTAGTCAAGGATAATAAATGCTTAAGATATGAGTATAACTTTTCTGTTGTATAGCTATGCAAGAGCAAGCTATTCCCTTATTAGAGTTTATTTTGTTTAAAAGTTGGATTTGCTTATGCTCTTTGTGAACATAAACCTAGTCTGAGAATTTCTTAAAATCTTCTCCCCTCTACCCTAGTTTTTCCTCTAGAAAAGTGGTTTGGCTTTTCTAACTTCCTTTATAGTTCCTACTTTCTGGATGTAGTATCGCTGCTTAGTTGTGCATTTATTTAACAAATAACATTGGAGAGATAAAGCCACACTCTGAATAAGATTAAGTCTTCATGCAGCTTACATTCTGGTGGAGGATACAGGTAACTTTAAAAATAAATAAAAAACTTCAGCAGTGAATGCTATTAGAGTAAAAGATAAAGAAATAATGGAGGAGACTTCTCAACCACCAATTTCAAGAAAATATTTCCCTGAATAGGTGGTGTTTGGGCTGAGCCCAAAGGATAGAGAAGAGTCAGCCTAGCAGAAGAACTGAATGAAGAACTTTCAGGCTGAGAGAATCGATCAGTGCAAGCCCCTGAAACAGAAAAGAAGTCCCTCTGTGTGTTTCTCTATAAACCTATAAAAAAGGCTTTGATGGATCTCATTTGGCTGTTTCGGTTTTTTTAATGCCTGTAGGCTGCTTATCTACTCTAAGGGTTCAGTGCAGTTCTAATTCTGCTGTGTTTAATTTCTCTCTTCCTGATTTCTTCCTCTCTAGTTAGCAACATATGAGAAATGTGACAAGAGATTACTCTGATTCTGTTTTCCTAGTTTAAAGGGAGAGAGTTTCACTCTGATTATAACATTTACTATCCGAATGTTTTCCAGTACGGCTAATATCCCATACTAATGTTACTTTTGCAGCTGGATTTTCGTACACCCCCAGGTTTTGATCGAACACGTAATGCTGAGATTGGAAACAAGGACATTAAATTCAAACATTTGGAGGAAGCATTTACATCAGAACACTGGCTTGTGAGGATATATAAAGTGAAAGCACCTGATAATAGGGAGACACTAGACCACAAACCTCGAGTCACCAACATTTTCCCAAAACAGAAGTATTTGTCAAAGAAGGTGGGTGCCAAGGGAAGTCATTTACTGGAAAACAGTTACTAAAAATTCCTGGTAAATTTTAATTTGCTAGATATCTGTGGACTATGGCTTATCTACAAAGTAAGTATCAAGCTAGCCTACTAAGGCCATTCCTTTCAAGCTGAGTACTTGAGATATCGCAAACAGCAGCCTTTTTAGGATAGCATAGTGGTTATTAGTAAACAAAGCTGAGTGTTCCAGACGCATTCTTGCTTTTAGTTTGGGTGATTCCAATTAGTAAGACTTACTCGAAAATAAGATAAGTCTGTGGCCATCACTTTCTAAACTTTTATGAAAGTAAAAATGCCAAATACCCAAGTAATACAGTTGTGATTGGTTTATTTTCTGGTTAAAGCTAATTTATATTGCGTTTTCATGTTCCATTTTTAGTATGTTGTTGTTCATTGACTAAAAAATAAGTTTGAATTGGTCCAGTGCTGAATTTTTTCAGAAATCATTTCTCTTAAGGTAATTATTTTTAAATGTAATTATCATGACAAAGCTTGTAGGCAGGAATTATGATGATGAGGCTGTTATAGTCCCTTTGTAAGCAATATTTAGAGATATGAAGTATTTTATTGAAGGTCATTATTGCTCACTTAAGCCAAATAGATCTAATCTTTGCTATAAAAGGCACTAAAAATGAGTATTTACATAGGTTGCTCTCTATGGGAGATGGGAAATAATGAGCAGTCAAGTAAAATATTAAGGATGTATTTTAAGGAGCTACACTTACAATAGTAATTATTAGACCCATTTCAGTCATAAGTCTTGAAAGATGCTTAGGTTTACATTGTTCAGAAGGTTTTTTTTTTTAAATCATTAATGCAGTTGTCTTTCCCTTTGCGTTACTTAAAATAGACTTAAAGTATATTCAAAGTACAGATTATTTCAGTGTCTGCTATAAAAGTGCTAAAAATTAGCTGTATGATATATAAATAGAAGCTTTTTAAATCAGTACTTTCTGTCAGATATAGATTACTGTATCTAGAGTGATATATCTAAATATGTTACTGGGAGCTGACATGCATTGTGTTAGTCATATCCAAGTCACTTCGCTGACTTTTTGTACATCAAGTGACAAATCAAATGATCTGGTTTTTTATAGTCGTGGTAGGAGAAACTGGTGAGTCACATCAGTGCAGAAGTCAAAGCGAATGCTGCTAGTCTCCAGGCAGTTACTCCTGAGACCTCTGAGCCCAGTTAAGGTCTGCCCTTTCTGAGAGCCAAAGCCATTGAAATAGCTGTCTAACTGATGACAGTGAATTTCCTTATTCTGACCTTCCTTGTCTTCCCGTCATTTCCTCTAAATCAGCAGATGAATGGATCAATAAAAATTAGTCTGTCTTTTGTGCCCAAAACATACATTCTAGTAGCCAACAACGTGGATTTTGAATTTTGGGTTTCCGTGGCTTTCCGTTCTGTTTTATACTAGCACCAGAGGAATATTTGCATTATTCCTCCATCCCAGTGTTTACTTCCGGGGCCGTGCGGTATAAGTGTAGTAGTCACTTGAAAACTTTTCCTGCCACTACTAAACTCACATGGCCGAGACCCTCGGATTGTATTCCAGGGCCAGAGAAGACTCCGGGGCACGGCTCACTGAGGGTCTAGGTACATACTCACATAGACTGCAGTGTTTTATAAGATCTTACAGAAAGGGTTCATGTTAGATACTTTGTAGGTAATAATGATAAGGAAACTAATTCCTTGACCTGGTTTCAAGTTTTTAAAATTATGCTCTCTGAATTTTGTTTTTACATTTTGCCTTTATAATAATAAGATAAATTCTGGACAATTTAGCAGTAGCTAATTTTTGTAACCTTAAGGACTGCATTTTACCTGGTATTCTTGTGCCTGTTAGAAAAAATTTTGAATTATTCTAAACTGACATCATAAATACATCGTAAGTTACACAATATGACATTTACTCCAAGATTCTGAAACCACCTCTAAAAGTTGTATTTAAATGTGAAAATTGGGGGTGCCTGTGGAGCTCAGTTGGGTAAGTGTCTGGCTTCAGCTCAGGTCATGATCTCAAAGTTCCTGAGTTGAAGCCCCACATGGGCCTCCACGCTGACATTATGGAGCCTGCTTCGGATCCCTCTCCCTCTGTCTCCACTGCCCCTGCACATGTGCATGTGTGGTCTTGCTCTCAAAAATAAATAAGAAAATTGAATTGAGTGGTCAGTCTCTTAAGTCTCCAGCCTCTTCTAACCCAGTGCTTTAAAGTACTTGTTTGCAAAAATTATGAGCTTTTTTTCATTATCAGTGGATAGGTCAGAGTGGCAAACCCATGTGTGTTTATGATTTATCTTCTAAATTTTTTGAGTAAGTTCTACCACCACATTTAGTGATTTGTTTCTTACACCAGAAAATATCTGTTGAAAGTATTTTAATGGGATCCTGAAGTGTTTACAAAAATACTATTTTTTAAAGATCTAGAAACTCCCCCCTTGGTGTTTCGTTTTTGTTTTTCTTTTCTTTTTTTAATGTTTTATTTATTCTGAGAGAGAGACAGCATGAGCAGAGGAGGGTCAAAGAGAGAGGGAGATACAGAATCCAAAGCAGGCTCCAGGCTCTGAGCTGGCTGTCAGCACAGAGCCCGATGTGGGGCTCGAACCCACGAACAGTGAGATCATACCTGAGCCAAAGTCAGACGCTTAACTGACTGAGCCACCCAGGCACGCCTGTTTTTCATTCTTTAAGTTCTTATTTTTCTGCCTAAATTGGAGGATGTGCCAAGTAATTTTATTTCTCTTTCATCTTTGTAGATAGGTACAATTATCCTCATTTTACACATAACAAAACTAAGTCAATTTGATTTCTGATACACAACTAATTCTTGGAGGCTCAACCAGGAGTAGCATTAACACTTCCTCATTCCTTAGTCTAGTGTTAAATATTCTATCATGCCTGAAAATGTGAGTAATTATTACAGCTAAGCATTTAGTGTTTGAGAGGGGAGGTAGGGGCTCATTTACATGATGGTGAGAAATGTATGCTGTGCATTTGAGGAATACGGTGGGAGTGCTTTCATCTTAAAGCTAGGAACTAGTCCACTTTACCTTGGGTCTCTCTGCATACTTCGTACAGAACTGTTATTGGTGCTCATTGATGGCCCACGGAGGCCAGCCATAAGAAGAACTCCTGGGGGCTTATTAAGACCATCTTTATCACAAGGCTGGAAAACATAGGTGTATGTAGTATGCTGTGAGCAACCTGCACTAATGCCACGTGTTCTGTTTTCTTTTTTAGACTACGAAAAGGAAGCGTGGCTACATTAAAAATAAACTAGTTTTTAAGAAAGGCAAGAAGATATCCAAGAAGACTGTTTAAATGCACTGTTCGGGTTCCTAACTTGAAGCAGTTGTCCTTGTGAGAACCGGTCTTTGCCTTTAGCTCATGTCATGTTTCACAATAGAGGGTACAGAACCATCACTGGTCCAGAATAATGTACAGAATTTTCTGGCAATGCCTGATTTAAAAAATAAAATTGGCTTATCGAGAACAGCTATTTTCTATTTGTGATGTGAAGCAAGACAGAGCACTGCTGTAAATGTCTAACAGCAGGTTTTTTTTATTGGTACATATTATCCTTCAAATCTGAGAATTTGGACTAATTGCACCAAAGAACCCTCTAATTTGGTCCCTGGCACATGCATACTTGTCAATGTTTTTATTTTTTACAAGACCTACATTTTATTTGAATTACCCAAATAGCAATATGTAAAATACAAATGACAAAATGTGATGTGTTTTTCTTGAACCAGTAAACTAGTACAGGTCTGAGAAAGAGGTATTAGAAAAGTAATTATACTTCCTTGAACTATATTTATTTTCATGTTTCTCCAGTGCAAAGAATGTTTCATCAAATGTACATTTTCTGTTGCTTACTATTTGCTCTGAGAAGCTGCTGTTTCAAAGAGGGACCTCTGAGTAACTAACTGATGCAAATAGTTTTTTACGTTGACACATTATTGCTGCTTTTGGCAGTTGTTTTCACCAGGTACTTACAGAGCAGATCTCATGCATTGTTCATTCAAGGGCTAGATTTCTATCCTTCAGAAATGTGGCAGCCGCACAAGAGGCTTCTTACCAGGACGGGGTTGGTGTCACTGAGATGAGCACTATGTTTACATGCAGAAGATTGAGGGAGAAAACCCTTAAAGAGGACAGGTATGGACAGGTATCCAAAGTTCCTTTTCTGTGACTCTTCAAAATGACAAAGGATTTGTAAACTTTGCCTGGATTTCTCTCATTTTCTAATAGTTTCGTCTGTCACCATGATTTTATCCTGCTCCGTATATTTTTTCTTTTAATTCTGAAGCATTTGATGAAACACTCTTTAATGCTGTATGCATTTTTCTTACTTTTGTTAAAAATGTGACAATTGTCAAAAAATGCACTAAAGTATAAATGGAGATTGAACATGTTCATTTTCCAGCTTATAGGCAACTTTATATAGACTTGAAAATTTTCTCCAGTTTAGTAAAAGTGAAAG